ATCCACTGGGTGCCGATCTGATCAAAACTTTACTTTGTTTTTTTCAGCAGAAGGAAACGGGGCTTCTGGGCAGGGCCCTGTTGCCTTCTGGGAAATGTGGTCATTATGAGCAGGAATACAGTGGAGGCTTACTGAGAGAAAACTACAAAAAGGCAGCATCTGTCTGAAGTATTATATTTTTTCTTTAACTTTTTACTGTACAGTATCCAGTACTGACAATCATGTGTCCTGTGCAATTTAATTTTTTTGTACAATATTATGTACTGTACGTCTACAAAACGCGATAGAAAGGGTCTGCGAAAGTCGAACCGCAAATTAGTGAGGGACTACTGTATTGTGTGATTGGTCAGAAGTTTGTGGGCGTGTTCATCACTGTGAAAATGCACTCGGACATTCAGCTGTATGACTCTTGAAATACACTAAATTAGTCAAATGGCCAAAAACTCCTGGTTGGAGTTCACACAGACATTGTGTGTGGAAAAGAAGTCTGTCTGCTGAAAAGTGTGGCACTTTCTTCATGACAGATTTGTGGCCAAACGGTGGATGCAGGAACGGAGTGGAGACTCTGGCGCGAAGAAACCCGCCAGCGGGAGGGGTTTCCCAACATTTCTGTGCTTGTGTCTTGTACACTACGAAATGTGTGTGTGAAAACAAACATTCTGCAACCACGTGACCACGGTTCGACTGTTCGGCTGCGGATGGAGTATGCTGGACTCTTTAGCATAGAGATTTTTTTGGGAATCCCCAGGGAGGTGCAAAAATACTCTGCAGTTATGAAGTTGCACAGTTGTACTACAGGCAGCTGCAGTCAGAATAATTTCTGTACTAACACCAGTTACAATAAATGGCAGAGAACAAAGTGGTTTTTTTCTGTGTTATTCACCCTTTTTCATAATGTAAGAGCAAATCCCAAGGTCCAAAGGAAGTTCCTGTATTCACCAGTTTGGACATAACTGTGATCATGCAAACACTGCATGTGCTATGCATGCAGTTAAGCTCAGTAGGGTTGCCAGATAAACACAAATATGGTTTTTTTTGGGGGTTTTTTTGGTTTTTACTACCCACTCCTTTTATGTGCACATCTTCACCAAACTGAACACACAACTCATCTTTCAACCTCCCACTTTTAGTGCACACTCACTCAGCACATCTGATAGTTAGGTTCAGAATGCAATAATTTTAAACCGACAGTGCAATAGCTCATAATTTCTTATCCGGTAACCCTGGAAACTACATCAAATCAATGTATCCTTTTCTGGTTTATTTGTCCCAATAGACATTAAAAAAACACAAATGTTTTCTGAGGTAGTTTTTGTGTAAACAAAGCCCAAGTCTCAGTAAGGAACTTTTTCTAAAGTCATGGCATCTTTGCACTGGAAAACACTGGTGCAGTCAATCAATAGTTGTTCTGCACATGCTTAAATAGAACAACAGTAAAATGGGAGGATACCATTTGTGCTTTTCAATTCATCAGGGCCTCTGACACCAAACATCAACGTGCTAAACCATCTCGATCAGCAGAGGCGCAAAAATCCCAGCGACAGCTAGTGATCTGAAGTGTTCATGATTGAATTATCCATAGCTGTATGACAAATGAAAAAAATTGATCCAATTATATCAGCCATTATGTTTTAAGGATTTGCTTGTCATTTACTAAACAAGTTTTAATACATTAAACTAAAAGTGATTAGGGAAATTTATCACCAGCAAAACTGTCTGCGGGAAATATGGCAAGCTTTATTACCGTACTTGCCACCATACACGTCGCACCGCCGTATAAGCTGCATCTATTATGCGTCACCGCAGTCAACCCTGAAACGTGGGCCGGTGTTATGCCAAAAATCGATTGGCTGCCAAATAACGGCCGCATAGAAGCATGCACAGGGACTTTAACAAGAATTTAACAAGATTAACACTTAAAAACAATTATTTGTTTGCTCAAAATTATAGCAAAGGTATGTCTTAGTTTAACTTTTCCTTATTAAATGCACTATATTGGTCAAATCAGCTGCATTTTAAAAATCAATTTGTTGAGGGGGACTCGCTGTGCATTTCGTTGAAATTTAATTCAATTCATTTTATTTATATAGCACCAAATCAGAACAAAGTTGTCTCAGGGCACTTTACAGAAACATTCACATACATAAAAGCCAATTAGTAAAGTTTTCTATCTAAGGAATCCAGCAGACAAGTCGAATCTTGGCTTTGTTGCAGTCTCCCATCCTGAGCAAGCACAGTAGCAAGATTCACACCTAAAAGCAATTATTTGTTTGCTGGAAATTATAGCAAAGGTGTGTCTCAGTTTAACTTTCCTTAATAAATGCACTTAAATGGTCAAATCAGCTGCATTTCAAAAATTGGTTCGCAGCTGCTGGAGTGCGCAGGGGGAGAACTCGCTGTGTATTTTGTTGAAATTTAACAAGATCGTTGCCTAAAAACAATTATTTGTTTGCTCGACATTATAGCGAAGGTGTGTCTCCATTGAACTTTTCCTTAATAAATGCACTTTAATGGTCAAATCAGCTGCATTTCGCCTGGGGGGGGCACGGCGAAATGCAGCTGATTTTACGTTTGCTCCAAGAGTTCTGGAGAGAGACGAAGGTGGCTTGGTATGGCAAGCCAAATGTCATTAATAGCCAATTTTACATATTAATGAGACACTTGGCTTGCCATATAGGTCAAGGGCCCTCTAGCTGCTGAAAATTGTAGTGTTCAATATTTTCCATGTCAGAATGAATGAAATCGTCAGATTTCAGCCAAAAATTGGGTTATAAATATGTGGAAAAAACATAAATTGCTTCGACGTATAAGTCGCAGGGCATGCAAATTTAGAGAAAAGTATGGTAATAAATAGCAGCAAAATGACATAATTCAAAACAACTAGTCTGAGCTCACAAGTAAATAACCCTTGTGGCATGTCAAGTTTTAGCTACAGATGAATCACTCCTGTAAGCCCCCAGGTATGTCATTTAAACTACTGGTACCATAAATGTTTACAGGCTCATATATTCTTAGTTTAAGTATGTTTTACATTACCATTGACATCAGTACTTTTATCTCCATCACATAGATAAATTGTATTAATCATGTTATAATGCCACAAAATAAAAATATCAGGTCTACGGTTTAAATTGGAAGAAGAAACTTGTAATAAAGCATCAATAATAAAAAGCATCAATCATGTCAGAGTATGCTACATTTTCTTTGGTCTTCTTGTTATTGTCAGTGTGAAGCAAAACCCCTCAAACCTTTTTTTGTTTGTTTTAGTTTACAAGATTTTGTCAGAGTATGGGGGTCTCGGTAAGGAGTATGAATGTGTATTTTGTATATATCCATTTTATATGCAGTGTAATGGAAAATGACATATATTTTAATGGTGAGTTTTGAGTCTGCACTGAACATGCTGGCATTGTCAATTTATTAGGCGTCCATGGCACATAGACTTGGGTGTGTTTGTGGTCTGTCAGAGTTTCCTGGATTGCAGGGCATTCTCTAATTCAGACTGAAGCTTGTGGTTGTCTAGAGCTCTACGAGCCCTGGATTGGATGAAAGGGATTATTGGTCTGAGGGCTCATTTGATTTAAGGATCAACATGTGGATTGTTAGAGGCCCATCTGGTGGTCCCTGTGAACATGTGACTCAGTTGGGTATAATCCAAATGTAGACAGTCAGACCAGGCAAGAGAGTGCATAAATGTGCTTGTATGTTTGAAAACAAACAAATATTGATTATTATCTGTTTTGCTAATTCTAAAATTCCTGCTGTCCCTGAGCAAATAAGTGCATAATCTAAATTATGTTTTTTAATGGTCATGGTTTAAGTTTTTGTATTTGTTATTCTGACCTAATCATTTAAATTATTTTAAAATAGCTAATATTTTTTTTAACTCTGTCCAACATGCAGAAATGCTGGTATTCTATAATTTAAGTTATTGGTCTCTATGTGTCCCTGTGATGGACTTGCGACCTGTCTAGGGAGTACCTTGCCTCTCACACAGTGATAGCTGGACATGGGCACTAGTGACCCCCGCAACCTGAAAGAAAGAAGCTGGTACAACAAATAATGAATGGATGGATGGAACTTGTAGCTTTTGGATGCATTTGGGATATTTTTATGTCTACATATTTGAAAAAACAGCTAAAATAATATATGCTAAAAAAAACAATCACGGTAAAAATAATTCCACATATTTCAAAGGTATCACCACTGTATTCTACTGACAAAGAAACAATGCATAATTCCACATCTCCCATGAAATCCTGCAGAAACAGCCTCCTCTGTGCAGTGCTGTAGCAGGGAAACCCCTCTGGCCCAGGCCTGGGATCAGGACAGTTTAATAACGCTCTGCAATGCCTGGAATGTCAACCTAATTCCAGTTCAAAAAGACAAGCCCTCAGCCACTAAATCAGTGGATTACTTTGTAGAAATGTACATGTATAATTGCACATGTCACATGAAAATTAGACCTCCACCCCTGCTTCGTTAATCTGTTCAATGGTAATGTGTTTATAGAAGTTCAGCTCCAGAACTGGTGTAACATGGTGGAGAAAACTACTTTCATAGCTCTCCCCCCTTTCTTGTTCAGCAGGCCCCGAGGTTTGGGCAGAATTCGATCACACGCTTGGTGGGGGTGGCTTTGTGGACTAAGAGACTCACAGAGAGACAACAATGGCTCCAATGTGAGAGAAACAGATTTGGAGGGTAGCATGCAGGCCGACAGGGTCTTATCGCCGTGGAGACCAGGCTGGGGGCTATGTTGGCGGTGTCTCATAAAGTTAGAACAGTTGTCCCCTGCTTGGGTGAGACTGTTTGGAAAAGTATGGGCTAAACATGGACAAGAATCGGAAAATGACTGTTTTTATGTGACTTAGTGATTATGAGGGTAGAGATTCAGAAGCAGCACTCAAAGGAGTGTAGGAAAACAAGTATAGGACTAATTTCATGTGAAAAATGTCTCCATGTTTACTGTGAACTAATTCCTGTTTTCTTGTCCCCCTCAGGTCTGTTGAAGATGCACTGGTCCCCGGAGCATACTGCCCCCCTATCTCAGTGGCCTGAGCAGCACCTTGATGTCACGTCTACCACATCCCCGCAATCTGCCCATAAACAAGACCCCTACAGTACAGCTGCTCGATGCGGCTATGGGCCCACGGGTTATCCTTGGGCCAGTGATGACATATCAGCCCTTACTGCTTCTTCGCTCCTAAAACGCTATGCTGAGAAGTACTCAGGCCTGGAGTTGTCATATGATCGTTCTGCTACAGGTGCCTACACAGAGTCTGGAACTTTCCTAAAAACTGAGTCTGAGCCTTGGGCTTTAGGTCAGGGTATAGAATGCTACCCTGGACTGGAGGCACTTACTGGCTCCAAAGTGGGGTCTGCCTCAGTGGGAATCCCAGCCACAGGAAGTGTAACAGTAGTGAGCAGCAACTTGGCCTCTGAACCAGGTTATAGTGGTGCTGGCTCCTGCAATGCTCCATCATCTCAGGAATATCCTCCAGCTTACAACAGCACCTACCTGCCCTCGGGGTACTGCCCTCAGCCCAGCACAGCACTTCCTCCTGCCCCTCTACACTCTCTGCGGGCCACATCTACTCTGGTGTCCAGCTACAGTGCCAGCACTCCAGTCTACAACTATCCACCAGGCTGCTACCCTCAGTCCAGCCTGTCCTCTAGTTATAGCCACCCCAGTGCCTCCTACCTGCCCTCAGGAATTAGTGCTCCCACTCCTCTGACCCCTCGGCCTACTGTGGTTGGAGGCAGTTATGGCTACCCATCTCACAACCTAGGAGTGAGCTCTGACACAGGAGTGCCACTGAAACGTAAAGCCTTTGAGATGACAGGCGAAGTACAAGAGGAGGAAGAGGCGGAGGGATCACGCTACAAAAAGTACGGCAACGATCAGAGAAACAGTCAGAGCAAAGGTAACGGGCAGGCTAATGGCTATGATATTAGTGTCTCGGCCTCAGACCCACAAACCTACAAACCAGCAAAGCCCCTGATATCACCTCCTTATGGAGTATCAGGAGACTTTAGCCCACCATCCGGCCTAGCAGGTGAGAGTGTATCAGTGGAGCACAACTTTCCTCAGCAGCAGAGAATCTCCATGAAAATACCTGCACCTCACACACGTGCAGAAGACCCCACCAGTGGTCGCTAGTATTCCCTAAAACAAAGGGCAGACTTTCAGAAGCAACATTGAATTTACCTATGAAAAGTGTAGTTTCTCTGCCAAACACTAGAGGGAACAAGACTTCTATTTCTGGTGCACGTTTAACATCTTTCATCACTCGTGTTTCCAAAGACTCACATAGACATGCTGGCCTCTAAGGTTGAGATAAGTGTTAGGAGTTAGATTGAGCCATTCTCCATATAGACAGCTTCAGGGCAGTCTAAATATATGTCTGTCCTGTTTTTCTCAGGATATTATTAATTTCTAGTCAGCTACTACTGTGGCAGCAGCACTGCAACATGTCTGTTTAAGAGGTTGGTGCCGTTCCTTTTCACCATTATGTGCTTATAGAAGGCCTTTGACTGCAATATGTTCTATGACCCCACAAAGAAGAAAAATCATTTCTGACCAAAAATGAAAGCAAGCAAAAACTAAAAATGTTGTAATTGTCTTGCTATTTCAGCACAATCAATGCTATACAGCTGACTGCAAGGCTTGGTGATTTTTTTCTGGTCTTGACAGATGAATGTTTTTTTAATATACATTTTTCTTGACCTTTACTATTTTTCAGCAGTCGTTTCCTCGTCTCATTCTTTGTCATTTCTTATGTGGGGTCCAGCCTTCTCTACTAAGCCTTTATTGTTAAACAGTTTTGTTTTTGGTCCACTTATACAAAGCTGCTTATTAAGTGAGTATATGTGACCGTAAAGTCACACTTTGAACCTAAAATGATTGTTTGGTTCTTCTGAAGCTCTGTGGAAAAGGTATGAACAATTAATATCTTACCTGGTGTAGGTAGCTCTTTGAATGGCCTCCATTAGGAAAAAATAAGTTAATTTCTGTTGTATTGACGAGCTGACAGGCAGCCCGAGTGAGGCAGGAGTGGATTATTGTAACTCCAGTCTGAAACCTATCATAGTGGTTTTGGATGATGCTGTTTTAAAGAACTGTACATCACTGTAACTTTTATACTACAGTTATTCACATAAAAATCTGAGGTCATGTACCCTGGGGCACTTCTGACAGAAATGTCATGTTTCCCAAAATAATTGCATAATGGTTTGACACAAACCTCTGAAATTTTAGACATAGGAGTAGTAGGCCTGTCACGATAAACAATAAATCAATTAATCGCATGATAAATGAAAATTATCAACCTCATTTTCATTTATCGGCTTTATCGTTTCTTCGTGTCTCTCTTTCTACTGAAGACACTAGATGACAAAAGGCTCAACTCCGGTGTTCTTCACTGACCCCTCCCTTTGTCTTTAAAATCCGTTTTAACCGTCCAAAATCGTATTTTTGGGTCGTTAAAAGCAGCTAAGCTGAGAAGCTAAGCTACGAGCTAAGCTAACAGGCCGACCCCGGGAAAAAACCTCCGTCTTGTCCAAACTCCAAAATTCACGGTTGAAACCCGTGCCTTCGTGTAAAATGTTGTTTTTCTCAGCAAAAACTGAGAACTTGTTTACTGATTTTTTTATTAAAAGCTTTGTGTGAAAAATGCTATGCTAAAGAGCTCAAACCAAGCTCCCTCCCATTTTTCTTAAAGAGACACGCTGCTCGCTCCCTCACTATCCATTCTTCAGTTCAAACAGTTTTATACTGCCATCCGATGGTCAAAAAGGTACTTCACTCAAAACAAATTGACCAACATTTCTTCTTAAATTTGACAATAATTGTCAATTGTCAAATTTCAAACAATATTATCGTTTATCGCAATAATTTTTGAGACAATTAATCGCCCAGCAAAATTTGTTATCATGACAGGCCTATAAAAGAGGTGTTTTTAAAATATCAGCTTTGGTCTTGGCTCCACTCAGACTGCCTGTTAACTCGTAATTCTGGTCAGAAATGAACCTTTTCTTCAATTGATGTCACTTCAAAATCTGTCCACAGCAAATAAGATAGATGTGATTTATATCACAGAACCCCAACAAAAAAATAACCCATTGTGATAAATAAGAGAAATTACAAAAAAAAAAAACACCCAACAACTTTATTTTCATTTTAAGCATTGGACATTTAGCATTCCTAAATCCATACTATACAAATAAAGTCATCTTCAACGAGTTAATGCGCAGATTCCTGCTGAACTGTCCCTCAAAAAGAAATGCATAATGTCACACCTAATCTGCCTTTTATATTGAAAATGTTTCTAAAATGAATATACAAGTCAATAAAACATCCAAACATAAAATGCATCTGAATGATACCAACCTTCATTCGGAGCCGTCTGAAGGCTGCTCATTGTTGCAGTTTGAGTGGGAGGCTCACAGGCTGCTGTGGAGGACCTGTTCTCTGGAATGAGTGCCTCGAACACTTTTTTTTTTTTTTGCTCAACGTATGAATTCTTTATGAAGAATCGCCTGCTTATCTGCTATGATTTCCTGTTCTTTTCTTTGATATGCAATCTCTTTACTTAAGTCTCTCAGAAGGATGATTTATATTTGTGTTATTGAATACTCAGGAAGAATATTGTTACCTCAGAATGATAAAATAAGAATGTATGTTATGACCTTTGGGTGTTGGTAGCGAGCTTTATGGAGCAAAATTAAAGAAATGGAGCCATGGCTGAAACTTCAGGGAAACCAATGAACTTAGAAGGCCTTCTGTAATAAAACGTGCACGCATGCAGACACTATCCCCTCAGCTCTTTTTGCTCTGGGAAACTTGAAGTTTTCGTACCAAGGCCCAAGATGTTGAATGTAATTCAGATTTTTTAAAGGACATTACATGCCATAATGTACATCCATGATGTTTTAGAAATATGAACCTTATTTTCTTTGTGTATAGATGTAATTCTCTTATAGGTTTTGATGGAAAGATTAACGATAATGTTGTGTTAGTGTAGTTAAAGTTGTCAAAATGGTTTGGCTGATGAAATGTCAAACAAATAGCACTCCTAAAAAAAAAAATAGAGACATTTTTACATATCAAAATCTAAACATACCACAGTAAATCCTCTGCGGTGGAAGCGTTTAATAAATGTCTTCATCAAAAACTTTTCTCGTCAGTATTTTTAAATCTGCATTTGTGTTGAATTGATTTCAAATCTAAATTGAAAGCAACTAAAAGCTTAATAAAAGATTCTTTATTAGTAAAACTGACATGCAGCATCTAAAATTCAGCGAGATTAAAACTGTGTTTTTGTCAATCTTGGGAGAATTTCATTATTTTATAAATTCAAAACTCCTCAAAATGGGGTAGAATGAGAAACATGGTCTCTTTAAGTATACAATACTGTAATTTTACCCCTGATGTTTTGAGTTTTTAAGCGCTTAACTACAAAATAAATGCTCTTGAGTAGCTATCACACAGAAAATGATTTACATTAACCTACACAACAGCTTTTTGCTTTGTCATGGCGTTGCTCTGATTCTTTGAAGGATGTGGAGTCAAAATTGAACTTTGGTGTTATCTTTGTAATTCAAATGTACTTTTGTTGTATCTTATACATTCTCTGTAACCGTTTCTACCTCATTTTGAAAACTTTGTACATGAAAGTATTTATTTCATGTCATTTTCAACATGCCAGTTTATGAAACAATGTTTTTATTTCTTGACCTGTTATAGTCTACCTCACTTAAGAACTGTTCTGTCATGAAAATGAAATATATACCAAAATTACGCTTGACTTTGTCTTTTTTGGGCCATCATAAGCTCTTTCTGCTTTAAAGATCTGCTATGCTTTGCCAGTCACTACTAATAAAACACTTAAAAATACCAGGGTGTCAAAATGGGGATGTAGGTCCTTCTCTTTTGATTGCTACCTCTGGAGATAGTGTTTATGTGTTTTATGTGTTATATATATATATATATATATATATATATATATATATATATATATATACATTGCCACATAAAAAAATAAAAAAATTCTAGAATTGCGCCGCTCAAGGTGGCTGCATGTTGGAGCAGATCTGTTACTTTCATTCTGAGATTTTGCTTTTGGAAACTTTAATTCCTCTTTTTCTGGATGTAAATCACATTTTTTGGATGATAGTTTCCTCTGGTATCGAATGCTGTGCAGCTGGAAGGATTTTTACTGAAAATTTTTTTAGTTTTGGACATTTGTTATGATGCGTAACCATGGCAACAAGGCAGTTTTCTACAACAACAGTAGCTGAATAGCATCTCAAAAGCTGAAATAATATCTCAACTATGGCCCCAACTCTCAAATGAGTTGAAAAGGATGTTCTATGGACACATTCTCATCTACCTGCCAGCTGTGCTCGAGTGCCTGACCACTGAGATCCTGGAACTAGCAGGAAACATGGCTAATGACAGCGGAAGGACAGGATCGTCCCTCAGCACCTACAGTTGGCTGTCTGCAGCTATGAGGAGCTCGGCAGACTTCTGGGAGGAGTGGCCATCGCTTTGGGAGGAGTTCTGCCCAGCATTCAAGCGGTCCTACAGTCCAGGGGAACCAGAGGCCAGCCGAGTCTGGGTGGACGGATAGGACGGCATCTGCTGCCAGTTTCTTAGGATCCACTGTGAGATGGACCTTTACAAGTGATCCTTCCCGCCTACAGCCATCAGCATCTATAACATCTCTTAATGAAATGAGGATAACGAGTTACAACAACAAAATAATTTCCCTCTGGGATTAATAAAGTATTTTTGAATTGAATTTGATTTGAATATCATGGTGTCTCTGAGCAAGGCACCTAATTCCCACTTACATAGCTGCCCACTGCTCCACCTGGGTGTATCCCAGGTAAGATGGGTTAAATGCAGAGAGCCAATTTTGCCATTGTATGGGAACAAACAATGATGACAACGTATATAGCACTTTATTATATACATATCTATATATATATATAGAGAGAGAGATGAAGATATTGATTGATGGATCGATCGATAGATAGATCGATAGATAGATAGATGTGGAATTTAGAATAACCATTAGCTTGCATTCCTGAAAGCAAACAGTCTCGTTGCATTAACAAATATTCTCTGCAGGTTTTTTTTTTTTTTTACCAAATATT